TCGTAAACATGGTTTTGTGTATTCCATCACCGTTCTCGATTAGAGCCACAAGTCCCCCTTCATTATTTCCATTACGCTTTGATTACTATTATTTTTGTTCATCCTGCCAATCTTCCTGCAAGTCATTCGACGAAACTTACAATGGATGCGATTTGGGTGAAATCCCATAATTTGGAGCACCTGCTTTGGATTTCGTATTGGAAAGCGATCGTCGCGTTTCGCCACTGAGAAACCAACTTCCCGTATCGTTTCGAAACAATTGAGGAGAGATACGTCGTATGGGTTGAATTTACTGACAGAGCTGATGACAGTTCTTTTAAAGACCCTTCAATTACAGTAATAGAACAATCTGAGCCTTTCATCGGGAAAAATTATGTTAGGAAAGCGCATGATATTTGAACACTATAGAACTGTATCTCGACGGTTATAGGTTATTTTATGGCTTGTTTTGTCCGCGGTTGCGATTGATAGAAATATCTATTTTCTCTTGAATATTCTTCCATCAAAGGCTACTTTGAAAAACGAGTTCTTTTGCTAGTAAAATTATGCTCTATTGTGAAAAAGATCCATAAGTACAATATGCAGAGTAATGGAAGTATTTCCATGTCTGAATTCTGTGTACTGAATAAGAAATGGATTTCAACTTATATTCAGATCTTAGACCTCTGTAAGCCTATGAGCAAAATAAGCTGTTTTTTTATTTCTTCCAAAAGGCAGCTCAACTATGAAATTCCAACGCAACTGCTTAATTCATTGAAATTGCTCTTCTTTTCATCGAAACTGCACAAAAAAATGTTAATAAAGGAGAAGAGTTTGCCTGTTATCCTGCCCCCAATTCAGAGATAAGACATTCTTATTGATGACCTTAATGAGCGTAAGCAAGTCGAAAAGCTGCGAAAAATATTTTTTAGAGATTTGTTTAATGTTGCGGAACATTTGAATTAGAAACCTAGTACAATAGGTAGAAACACTCTATATCTTTTCTGTATTTACCTTCCTCTAATTTCCTGTAACTTAATGAGTTACTAAATGAATCCTTTTTTGTGAACGCAAAGTCAACTTGTTAAATTCATTCGAGCCAAATGTGTTGGCTCAAATTCTTATGATAAGAAATTCTCTCTCTCCAAAGACTTCGAAAAAAACGTGTGGCAAAAACGCTAGTCTTTTATGAAGACTAGCGTTTTTGTCACACGTTTTTTCCAGAGTCTTTTTCATACTTTGAAAGAACCATATTTTTTATTGAGGCTCTCCAGAGGCTACGTCGCCTTTTACGAGAATAAAGCGCGTTCGAATGCGAGAGAGTTGCGGTTGTACGGGGATCAGGGATAAATTGAAATATGTTCGCGTTTTGTGGAAAGATAGAAGATACGGGGCAAAAAAGCTAATTGAAATTTTGTGTCTGCTCAAGAACACGATTGTAACAATTTAAAACACTTTGCTGTTCAAGTGCAATACGCGGCTTTACCAATTATAAAAAGAATCTACCAGCATGTCGATATTTCAAAATGATAATTTTGGAATTGTTTCAATAGCAATCACTATAAGCAAAATTACACTTTGTTTGTTGGTTCCTCTCAGCTATACAATCCTTGAAACCACCTTCAACGGCTTATCTTCAGAGACAACTTATTTAATTGGGCTCTGTTACGTAGTGTAGTCAATCTTGCGTTAAATGTTTGTATTGTATTTGTTATCGTTTGTTACTTGAAAATTCTGGCAGTTGTTACATAACATATTAACGTCTTCTTCCAGCTACGAAAGCGCTATGACTTCTGATATGATAGCGATTATTGCTGCGTGAACG